TGGTTTACTTTTAAATGAATTCCAACAAGTGGTTAGATTCAAATCTACGGCATTATGATAAGCATGGTTTTCCCAGAAGTCATTGCTTGGAAAATCCAAAGCATTGAATTTAGTTTCTTGTTCATGAACATGGGAAATATTATTCGCGTAATAAACACGAGATGGATGAGGAAATGGGTCGATATTCGTGATGAAAAGACATTTATCGTTTATGCACGGTGCTCTATGTATGAATGAATGAATTGATTCATATATATTGAATAAAATAAGTAGACATTTTTGAAATAATATTTGAAATGATATTAAATCAAGGTACCTGACAGCGCGTTCGTGATAATAAGGAGTTTCTTCCACGCGTTCGAAATGATTGGAAACTGGTTTGGCGGCTAATGAAGTGTATAATTTTTGAGCCGCATCAAGCTAATAAAATTTGAATTAAAAATATTAATAATGAGAGAGAAGAAAGAAGCATCAATGGAAATTTTTTTTTTTAAAAAAAAAATAAATAAATTTAGATATATTACAATATTATTATAAAATATGGACCATTGATCAACGCTATTACTCCAGCCGTTATCTTGATCCAACGGAGTTAAAGGATTACAAAGCTGATAAGGATACTGGTTTGTCCACAAAGAAAAGTACATATCCGCAAGTTTAAGGCGTTCTTTGGATAATGAAATATAACCAAGTTGACCGAGAAACCTTTGAACTTTTGTTCGTGAAACAAAAGAACCGCAACCGAGCCAAGTGAAACCGGTATGAATATTCTTATCTGAAACAAGACGCTATATGAATGAATTAAATATATTAATAACATTAAACTTGATAACGACACAACCATGAGCTTACCTGCATTAGAAAACATCCATCTTCGATGTTCTAAATGGATGAGTGGCTTTGTGTTTGAATGAATCAGACTGGGGTTTTTGAGGAAATTAGTATAAGTACTATCCATATATAAATTTAGCCAATCATCATCTTGGAAATAACAGTAGTCATATTCAGCCATAGAACATGTTATATATTTAGAAAGATCATGAAGATTTTCATCAGAATTAAACACATTCAAAACTACATTTATATTATTATTTAATTTGAAATCCTGGGATTAAATAAAAAGAATAATTAACATTATATCAATTATTACAATTAAATAAATTAATATGTATCACAATTACCTCAATATTAAGCCTTGTTTCATTGTTATTATTCCATATCAAGATTTCTTTTATAAAAGGATATTTTGAAATATAATTCACCACTACCTTCAAACTTTCGGTACGCTTCCATCCCAATATTACTGCAGTAACGGGAATGAGCTTATTTCTTTTTAAAGCGTCTTTAGTAAATTGTTCAGGTTTATAAAAACTTGATCTGGAACTAATCTTTTTATTCAGACCGGTTTTCCAAGCTACTTGTGAACTATCAGTTTCTGAAGAGTCAGA